CGCTAATGGAGACGATCGTCTCACAGCACAATGGGTTTTTGGCAGGGGGGCTTGGGATATGACCGGACGAATAAATTCTTTGCCTGCGTCTTCAACACGTTCCGTGAAGACAGAAAAGTAGCACGCGTCCTGAGTGGCTGGAAGGCTGACGAAGCTCCCGTTGTTGCTGACGTTGGGATGCTTGATCGTGGTGCTCAGGAGCGCTTGGTGCGATTGCAGAAACTGCTGTTTGGCTGCTGTACGGGACTAGAGGACGCCAGGCCCAACGTGAGTACCACGTTCATTGGAGTATTGACTGCGTACCTGATCAAGTATCTCCCGCAAGTGGGACGTCGGCGCCGAGGAGTCCGTTCGTCGTCCGCGTCGAGGAGTGCTTGAGTGCGACCGGAATCACGGTAGCTGATATGCTTGCTTGGTTATCGGCTTTGGCAGCTATCACTTCTGTACCTGCTGAAAAATATAAAGAGGCAGAAAAGAAGATCGACCACAGCAACTCGGGGTGTCATCATGCTGCTGTCATTAGCCAGCTTATAGAGAACAATCGATTACTGGTAGCTCGGCTTGTCGTGCTTGAGGTCGCCGCCTTGAAGCGCCCAGCATCACACGGATTAACTGGACCAGAAACACAAGAACCGAGAGCGCTAGTTAAAGAACCACCAGCGAAGCGGAGAAAGAAACCCACAGCCAACCTGTCATCGATGTAGCTTGAGTGGTACACTCAGCTTCCGCGCATCTGATTCCCGAACGACCGCCAGAAGAAGTTCGAGTACGCCTTGGGGTGGCGTACAGGAAGATCCTTCTTAATGACGGGTTCCACCTTCGAGAAGAAGCAGACAACGTTAAAGACCACGTCCTCCAGCTTGGCTGGCGACCTGAATCATCGGTCCTCGCGTTCTTGAGTGCGCTACGGCAGTAGCGTGCTATGTGAAATGCGCAAACTTCGTCGCGGAGGAATGCTTGACGAACGCATCGCTGACTATCGCAGTCGGCTTGCCGTGGAGAAGATCTTCGATCCTGCGCTTGCGGCTACACAGAACATTCTTCAGGTCATAGGAACTGTGTAATAGAAGCTAATGCATACGCATATCGTGCTGGAAAAGCCGGTAGTAAAGACTCGAGCTCCCCGCCCGTTACCATCCGAGTGCTGCACCTGCAGTACCGGCAGGAGGCTTGATTGTGTGCTCAGCTCAGCGAGACATCCCAGGTGACGCGCGATCTGCGTGGTTGAACCTGAAAAAAGAAGACTGAGCTCACTTCGTCCCTGTCGGGGATTTGTGATGATATACTATTGACTAATGCAAAAAACCTGCCCGAGGTTTTTATGTGGCGCTCTGTCATTGGCTAATTAAAAAAACACATGAGGTTTAACGAAATGTATGGCCAGCAACGATTATGTCACTATTTCAACTTGTGCTGTCATTGAATTGAAATCACTTTAAATAGTGGCCCCTTACCCTGTCGTCGGTTCTCATTCATGAATTTGCTGGCTGGAGTGCACATTGCCATAATGCTGCAGAACCAAAAAAACCGTTTTTCTCGGCCTGCAGGCCACTAGAGAGCATTTCCTGGTGCCTGTGAACTCCGTTTCGAAAGTTGACTGGAACTGTCGTACTTATGATTGAGGTCGTAGTTAGAGTGTGCGCGCTTACTATAATTGCCCTTAACCTAACTTGAATGAGTTTTATTGGCTGATCCAAACTGTCTAAAACATTTCGGAAAGGGCTAGGGTAGCGGAACGGTTGCGATATGCTCTTGGCCAAACTGAATGCGTTCAAGTGAAGACCATAGTATGGGAAATTGACGCCATATATTATAACATATTATGGTCTTTACTTGCACGCATTCAGTTTAGCCTATCCTAAAACAGTACTTCTAAAGGCGCAGTGAGTTTTTTTTTCTCTTCGTAAACTGTCAACATACGATACTACATGTATTACGTTTATTTTAATATTGTGCTTTGCAGTTATTTTGACGACATTTTTTCCCGCTCAAAATGGCATCGTAAATACGCGAGAAAAAAAGGTCATTCCCTTATATTTAGCTAAATATTTGTCTAAATCCACCTGAATATATTGTAATCGATGTGGCGACGAGGCTACATCCGCAAGCAATGCCTTGTGTTTGCGTTTGGTAAATCCATTCTAATTTAGTTGTACAGCTACGGGCGCAGGGGAGCGAAATGCAGCATCTGTGCCCGAATTACAGTTTCAAAAGTGCAATTATGGCCGCTTTACTGTAAATCATCATATATCACAGTTTTATGAACTCGCATTATCGTAAATCCACCATCTGCTACTTATTAATCCAGCAAATCTAATTTCGTTTTGCCAAAATCGCTGCAAAGCACAATACAATATTACTTTTAAAAATACATGTAGTGGTTCTCACGGAGCTTTTGCAGGACATTATTAAAAAATGGAGAGAAGCCAATTAGCAACCATGACCATTTGAATCTATTGCGTAACAAACACGTGTGATTTCACATATCATTCCACAGCTGATATTTAACCAATCATACAGAGTTATTTCGGACGTAGATGCTGCAAGCAACCAATCACACCCATTCAGCAACCACCTTCCCATTACACACGTCGTGGAAAAGCAATAGTGGGACTACCGTATTGCCTCTCCACAGATGGAGACACATTGAAAATAGTAAAGCTTCTACAAGGCGGTAGTAGTAGTAAATATATTAATATACTTTTTAGTACTATTTTTGTCTTCACGATTCATTCGAATTGCGAGCGTCCTGCTTCATCCCCTTTTTTCTCTTTGTTATACCGCAGCAACAGCTGCCTATCCGCTCGTCTGCTATCCGTCATTGTCCTTAGAGGTCCCATAACTATCCCTCCCGCTGAAAATACCCTCTCTTGGAGCGCGGACGACGAACGTATGCCGAGATGTACACGCGCCAGTAGCGCGATAGAGGATAATTAAGCTCGCATTCGTCTCAAAACCACTTCAACACATCGATATGCTTGTACAAGCACAAAAGAGCATCGTAAAAACCGCTCTGGACGTCAATTGACGTATTCTTGGAGAGGTCCTCAATTGTGCTGTCGGGGCTCTGGCGCTGGGCGACCTCCAGCCTCTCTGGCTCTCATTCAAACCACTCTCTCATAACAGCGTCGGCTCTAGGCGTTGATCTCGGTCTTCTTTAGCTCGTGTCTCGTCTCTGTAGCCCGAATAGGTGCCCCTAGAAGCAAGTCGTCTGCGTCTTCCCAGCCCGTTAATGAGGGGAAGCAAAAAGGCGACGAATCTTGGCTCAATAGACTACTCTGGGACAGCGACTGCTACGAGAGAGAGATCCTTCCTTGTTTGGTCATCTGAGCGAGCACCTTTCGGTGCTCGTCGCGTAGAAAGTCAGCTCCGTTCTTGTATATTGCTTTCTCCTCCTTGCGCGATATATCACCGACGGCCTCAATCCCCTTGACAGTGAACGTGATCATAGTATCCAGCAACACGCACATCGACTCGGTAGTTACCTTCGGGAACTGGGCCTGCGACTGGGGCAGGTTTCTTCACAGACAAGTTTTGCCAATGTCGAAGAACTGGTCACGCGTCCTCACGACCCGGCGGTTATTCGCTTCGTTAGCATCCTTGGCGCCAGAAGGCTCAATAGTCATGGCGTCAAGCTTGAACGCTTTAAATTTGTTTTTGGCGAGTCGCCGAAAGACAACTATGTACGGTTAGACGAGGCTCTCGCTCTGGACCCCCACCAGTGCAAAATGCGCAATGAATTCTTCATTTCGACAGCGAGCATCCATCTTTGGTAGTGAGCGCTGCCCACTTGCTAGTAGACTCTTTAGCTGACTGGAATACGAATCGAAAGCTCCATAGTTGACTACTGATCTACAAATCAGCTTGCATGTGTAGGCGACTCGCATGTCTTGATCTGTCATCGGCTCGCGTTCGAAGTGGGAAAGCGCTTCCGGAATTTCCTTTAAAGCATTGCGCTGTTTAGGCGGCCGGAAGTGGCTGTTGAGGTTTCGAAGATTGTGTATCGCGTCACCGCCTTCATCGAGGGCACCACCCGGCGTCACCGTCGCTACAACTTTGACCCACGAGCTGGTCGACTCAATGGTGACCGTCTGGATGGCGTCTTTCAACGATCCCGTAGCCAATGCATAGGTTGAGTAGATGCATGGAGCAGCTCTCCTCCCCGTATCTATATGATCTGCAACGCTTTTCGTCGACGGAGTGACGTCCGACATTTTAAATCTAGTCAGAGAGCGCACACCTAGATAGAAGCGTGCTTCAAAGGCCATTTCGATGACCTTTGCAGCTGCATGAACGTTGTGACCGTCATTTTTAGCGCAGCACAACACTGCAATAAATCGGAATTTCCCTGGACGGTCAATGAAAGCTACAGATGCACCGACGATACGTTTTTTGCACATCTCGTAACGGTAAGGTGCACGGAAAGGAATTCTTCCATAACACCACGGTAGAACATGGTACGCCATCAACGGACCTAACGTGAGCCCGCGGAGACCAAAAACGGGAAATTACCGAGCATTGGAGCACGATGCCTGGGTAAACCCGAAGCTCACCGCTCCACGAAGCGCGACGCTACGGTAGATAACGATAACTCAAACGGCAGACCAACCGCGACACCACGAGATAACACGTTAGCATGGACGGTGGCCCAACCAATAAGCCATGGGAGAAAACGCAGCCACAGTAGTTATATACGAAAGATCATCGAGCCACAGAGCACGATACCAGTGTAGAACCAGATCTCATTGGACCACAGAGCGCGATAGCACGATTGCACGGACGGCGGGACCAGCCGCGGAATCACGGGGGAACACTTCGGAAGACCACTGTGGTGAAGCCCCGTTGGTTAGCTTGGGAAGTGGATAAATGAGCTACGATCCGATCGGGTGTTGGAATGCCACCAGGGACGAAGGCGCATCAGCGAGTGCATACGCAATCAACGAGATCGGATCGGTAAGGTACAGTCATTTCGAAACATGATATTCGACTGATTTGTACCCATGTCGGGTAAGTACGATATTACCTTCAAGGGCCAGTTTGGTGATCATAGGATATGCAAGGTAGTGGACAGCAAAGACTTCAGGGTGAAATTTACCTCATCAGCAAGAAGTGTCTTCGGTATCAGACTTCGAGACAGTAGCGGGAGGTATATTGGCCCATACAGTAATCAAGTTGAGTCTACCAAGTACGCGTGTCAGTCGCCGGAGTTTGCAGCTTGGCCGGTCGATCGTTTTCACTCTCGCCCTCAACGCCCCCGCTATAGGAAGCGGTGAAGTCTAGCGAGGAAAGGAACAAGACCCCGTAAAAAAAACACACACACCACGTCGATCAAGGTCGTCAACCTACCTGGCCCGTAGCCTTAAGAGTTTCCACGCTACGCCACCCCCAACCATCCTGCGTAGACGGCAAGACGGAACCAACCCAAGCCAAGCGTCCCTTCAAGCTCACCAGATGAGTGTAACGAGCCCCACCGACGGGTACACAAGGGGAGCCCTCAGCAACCCCGCGGTTACCGGAGTACCCCTCCGTCAGTCGGTAGTCCGGGGCACGGTGTGTGAGAATGGATCGCAAGTTTTGCGTAAACCACTCCATCACAATGGTGCGCGTGCCGGGGTCTTATGGTGACTCGTAATTTCACCGTGAGTCCCAAGAAGAAGAGGAAGTGCCAATCAAGTTAAAACCAAGGATGGAAGCGTCATCGGAAACTGGATCGAAAACAACGCTGCAGAATGAATCATGATCAGCAGATCGACATAGCTCTGGGAGGATCTCTGCCGACATTAACGATGAGGAATCTCTTCTTAAAGAGAAACCGCAACCTCCTCCCTCTGAAGGCACCGCAGATCGCAATGCGCATCGTGATCTGCTTGATGAGGAATTCAAGGTGAAAACCGGAGGAGCCTCACCAACCACCGCTCCGCCAACGCAGATGACCCCGAAGAAGAAGACTTCGTACGCGTCGCGGATGAGGCTCAAGGCCCCAGCTGATTCGGACTCCGATAGCCACGGCAAGATCGCAGCGACTTGGTCTGACGATCAGTAGGAGGAAGAATACAAACCGCATGAGCCTCAAATGTTTATGGCCAAGAGCCCAACGATGCGAATCGTACAGCCGCTGATGTCTGGATCGCTGAAGGGGCCGGTGACACCGCCACCTGAGACGACGACAAGCTGGAGGCTGTGAAAGCCATACCGTATCTCCTGAAGGAAGCCGGCGTCACGCCAGGCCCCTTTGCGGCGAAGGATCTGTTTGATCTGGATCTCAAAACGATCCAGAACACACAGTCGGAACTCTTCGAGAAGTTGAAAGCGTTGGTCGGCAAGTCGCAGACTCAGATCACGACATAGTCCAAGCCCGCCGCCGGCCTGCCACGACCCCCTAAATCGGGGTCACAGACCGAATCGTCTCAATAATCACGCTATGCCTCCACGGTTTCAAGTGCATATTCGGAAAGTACCGACTGTGCTGAACGGATGCAGCTGGGACCGTCGGGCACGGCGCTACTGCAGTGTCGACCGGATCGTGCGCAAAAGGCGGAAGCTGAGGCAGACTCGCCGACGCGGGGCGACCGGCACTGGGAAAATCCAAGGAGACTGCGGAGGTTTTTAAACTCAGCGATGGAACGTTGTCTGAAAGAGTAGCGCCCTGCACAAGGGATACCGACCGCTGCACCGGTAGCAGCGGTCAGACAGCACGACGTTGATATGGAATCGTTTGTCTCGGAGCACGGTGAGTACGATCCAGACGAGCTGGACGTCACTGTCACCCGTCAGCCGACAGTGGCTACAGATGCTACGGCCATCGGAATGTCACGCATTCGCGTATCCGCGATGTCGGAACTCAAGGAGTTCTCCGGGATGGATAACGACGAAGACCGCGCGCGCGGAGATCAGCAAGGTAAAGTCGGCCTTCCTCCGCGATCAGGCCCCGAACGTTGTGACGTGCTTGGTGCTTGGCGGCCTGTTCACTGGATCGGCGCAACTGGTACCGGCAACTCAGCCGGACTACTTGAAGCGAATTGAAGGAACTCCTACGCGAGTTTCAAGTGCAGTTCTGTGGGTCGGCGTATTCGTTGGAGGCAGTATTACCATGCGAAGAAACGTGCCGACGAAACACCGTTAAATTACCTGCTCCGTCTGAGCGCTGCAGGATTGAGGGCGAAGTTGCGTATGAAGCATGGCCCACCGGATGTCCGCCGTGAGCACGTAGAACACTTCATCGAAACATTGGACGACCGCGATTTGGCTGATCAGCTCGCGCTGCTACGGATCCCAGATGCAGATCCGCTTGGAGGTATCTTGAGAGTGCGACAACGCGCAAGCAACCGTCTGGGGAAGGACCACTTTGAATCGAGCAAGTGCTGACAGAAGATAACCACTTCTGATGCCGTAAAATCAAACCCAGCACGCAAGGTGCAAGCCGTTATGGCTGCGAACTGCGACAGTGATTCTGGTAACAGTGGATCGGAATCGGATGGTGCTCTGCGCCGGATCTACATCGCCGCAGCAGAAGAAGATGATCAAACTCAGATGTTATGACTCCAGGAAAAAGACAGATCGAGTAGATCGAGCCACGCCAAGCGAGACGCTGGCCTTACGAGACCCCGATCCAGGTGAACGCCGACTGCATGGACGTGGCCCATTCCAACGCTGCACGCACTGCGGTTCGCATCGTCACGACGATCTACGTTACTGGAAGCACGTGTCAGCGCTGTGGCAAGAAGGACCACCCATCGGCTCGTTGTCTCTTCGTGTGCCGCGGATGCGGCGAGATCCACAGGTTGGTAAGTGCCAGATGGAGGGGTTTTACAATTGGATCCGTCAGTGGTACAACCCGGCCAAGCATGGCGGCGTGCTGCCGGAAAGCGCCGAGAAGATGTTAAACACGGGCGCTCGAAGCCAGGACGAGCCGACCGTTCCAAGCTCTGCATCTTTGCATACGTCAAGAAGAGATCCAAAGTTAGTGAGCGGGAGAATCCGAGCGACAATACATGTGATGTTCATGGAACACGTGCCGGTGTTGTTGCAAGCCTTCGCGAGCTTGATGAGTTCGCAAGAGTTGATACCGTTATGACGCTTGATCTACTGCCAGGAGAGATGCGTAGATACTGGAATTACCACGCACCCAGTAAGTGGTTCAAGCAAGTCAAGACGGGAGGGAAGATCAACAACAAAACTGCGAGCTTACTCTTAATTTCCGGCGCCGAGGTGACCATTCTGGACGCCGCCTTTGCTCGTAAGGTTGGGTGCTATGTGGTTAAAAGTCAACGATAAGAGTGGGTTGGTATTGGAGAAGGTGTGTACATCACGATGGGACGTACCAAGATCAAGATTACCTTGGATGGAGCCATGGTGTACTTCTTCGACGTGTGGGTCGGCGAGATGTCAGACCAGGACGCGATCTTCTGTATGGATTTCATGGTACCAGCGGGGATTCGCTTGGACTTGGCCGACGGGACGCTATGCTTACCCGAAGAGGTCCGCATCCAGTCGTCCGGACGACACCCGCTGTATGGCGAATACGTTCGCCCAGTCGGTTTGGACGGGCTCAAGATAATAGACGCGCGACAGAGCATCGAGATGCCATTACGACCCAAGCCATCGGAAACGCTGTGGATCACTCGGGGAGAGCAATTAATTCCCACCGTGGTTGAAGGGCATGCACGCAGGCGTTACCTGAAGATCACGAATGTCAGCGACCGGACGAGGTGCCTACTCGCTAATACCTCGGTAGGCATGTGGCTGTCAGGAGATAGTGTACCAAGACGTCAAGGATTCATCACCGTAGGATCGCGTCGGTACGCCGAGTGGTAGAATCTGGTACTACAGGCTAGCACGGATGTGACGATCGAGGAAGATAATCCGATCGAGAAGTCGACGGAGCCGATGGTCTCCCATCCGCAGTATGACACACCGACAAGCATTTTGAGACGACCCATATGTTGGGCGACCGGCAGCAGCCAGATCATGGAAGCACCCAAAGCCAGGAGGATCGAAGTCATCGTCGGAAAATGATCTGGAACGCAGACTGTGCGAACCGATGTGCTAGAAGACCAGATCGATGGGCCGACAGCGGTAGACGGCGAGATCGCCACCTGCAGGTATATACAGATCTCACCAGTCAGCAAACCTGGGAGCGGGGTAGACGGAGAAGCTGATCTGATCGTGAATCCGATGGAATTGGAGCCTGTTGTGAATGCGTCAAGCACGACCCCTGTGGAAGATGACCAAGTCTGCATCAGCTAAGGGGGCGAGCTCTTTGCCGAAGCCGTAGATGCTCAGTTGACAATCTTGCCAGAGGTGACGACGACGCCAGGAAATGTGAAGCTTGAAGACGTACGAATCGAGCATGAAGGCTTTGTCGCGCCAGAGGATGAAACTAGGTTGAGGAAGATCATCTGGGGCCGACAGCAGCTTCTTCTCGGAGAAGGGAACGCCCTGCCGCCAGCCGCGCGAGGCGTCTACTGCGATATCGATACTGAGGACGCCAAACCAGTGGCTCAGCTCGTGCGTCGAGTTGCGCCCCAATTTCGAGATAATTTATCCGACTTGTTCAAGGGTCTGCTCTCTGCCCAGATCATCAAGACTTCTAACTCGACGCGGGCGTCGCCGATCGTGGTGATTGTCAAGAAGAATGGAGTCAACATCAGACTCTGCATCGATTATCGTGTGGTGAGCAGCCTGACACGTCTCATGGTGTACCCCATGTCGTTGATCAACGATCTCCTGGAAGACCTAGATAAGGCACTCTGGTACTACTCGTTAGATATGGTGAACGGTTTCTGGGTCGTGTCGATGACCGAGCGGGTGCGCCTGGTGTCGGCGTTCGCTACGCCGTTTGGTCTCTTTGAATGTCTGTGTTTGCCCTTTGGGCTAAAGAGCGCCCCTCAAATCAACAAATGACTTCTGGACAGCGCACGGTATGGCTATCTTCGGATCCCCGAAGAAGGCGACGAGTCAGGTATGGCGGATGCGTTGGAGATCGGTGAACCTGACGTAAATTCGGGACCGCCTGTGCTGGGACGTCGCTCGTACATCGACGACATTCTGGTGACCGCTGAATCATGGAACGAGCTCTGCAACAGAATAGATCGACTGATAGACGCGTGCGACCGTTGGAACTTGTCGATCAGCGTGGTTAAGAGCTCATGGGGCTGCCGCAGGATAGACTGCCTGGGACATCGCGTGTCAGCGGACGACCTCGAAACCCCTTCGAAGACCTCGAGACTCTGACGGTTTTGCCATTCCCGCGAGCACTGCAATTTATGCAGTCTTTCCTTGGTAGCCTTTACTACTACAGCAGATTTCTTGAGGATTTCGCAATCTACGCGTCGATCTTGTATGAACTGCGAGAAGTGGATTATCACAAGAAGGACCCAAAATCCGATCGAGCTGCTGGGGGCGAGGACTGGATCACCTCGGCGGATGAAACGGACAAATGGGATGGAGCGCGAGTAACGTTCGACTGCTGAAGAGCAAGATCGCAGACGCGCCAGTGCTCAGGCACTTTGACCCCGATCGGACGCCAGTGATTGTCGTCCACCCGAGTGATTGGGCGATTTCGGCGGCCTTGATGCAGGAACACGACGGCACGTATATGCCGGTAGCGTTTACCAGTCGCACGTTGAAGTCCAATGAGTTGAACTACGGCACCGTTGAGAAGGATATCTGGGCTCTTCTCACAGGATACTGAATGTCTGTTACACCACGCTGGTCTCGAGATGA